AAAATAAAGATAATATAAGGTATTTATTTCGCTTAAAGTGCTTAATAGGACCTGACAGAGTAGTGCTCAAAAAGTTTTAGCTGTTACATATTTATCAGCATGAATAACCTACCAGTGAAATGCTTTATTTTGTAATCTTAAATAGTTTCCCAAAGACATTTTTGCTCAAGAAAAGAATATACATCTTTCCATTGAGAGGTAGATCTGGAGGCACAAGCCAGTCTTGTTGGGGAACAAGACAAATGGTAGGGTGAATATAAAGGGCACTCAGGTGTTATTCTGTAACCCTGAATGGATGTCTCTATTTTCTCAGCCACACACAGATGCTAGGTCTTTCCCTTTGACATCCACATGTTTCTGTCAATGATCAATCTTGAGAAGGTTAGACCCAGTTCCATTTGAAGAGAGTGAGTGCCCACTTGGGCTGGGGCTTGGCAAAGGTAATGGATAGAGTGAGGGCAGTTTTCTATGGATTGATTCACAGATGTCTCTAGAAAACTGGCTAACTTGGCACCTCATTATGGTGCTATGTGGCACCCCCACAAATGTCAGTGGAAGTCAGTAGGCTTTGTCTGGCTTCTCCTTCACAGTCTCCAGACTGACCCTTCCCTCTGCTTCTCTTCAAGAGGACTCTCCTCACTGACAAAACCAACCTCCCCAAAGATGTTAAACCCACCTCTTTTCCTCTCTTACCTACCCCAGCTAGCTAAATGATTTTTGTCTTATTTCCTGCAACTCAAACAACCGACAGTTTCCTTTCTTGTTATTTTCATATGGCCATAACCTGGCCCTGTATTCCACATTCATTCCTCAGGGCCATCCATTTTGATTCTCAAAAGCCATTTCTTCTCTCAACATTACTCCTTATATCTTAAAAGACATGGCTTTCACAGCTGTTGTTTCTGATGGGGGCTTCAAGAACATAGTTTAGATTTCAAAAATACTGAACATCTACTGTTTTCTTTTTTTACATTTCTGCTCTTTTGGCATTAGTTCTTTTCGCAACGTGGTATCTGAGTGACAGGAGAAAGGTTATAATTAGTAAGGGAAGAAAAGCACAAAGGTTAATGCTTTGAGATCATATCCTCTCCATCATGTCCCTTCCTTGTCATGTTTCAGCAGGTTGACTCCTATCTTAGAGGCATTGCTGACTTTCACCCCTGGGTGCTGCTTCTTGTGATAAACATATTAAGTGAGGGCAGCAGTGGGGAGCTTCTCCTGAAATTCACTCTAATTCTTCATATCATAATCTCCTTATGAATTTCCAAAGTTGAAATATTATTCCTTATATATATATTGAGTTTTTAACTCTGTGTCTCATTAGTCTTCACAGCCCTATGAGGTAGATACTAGTATTGTCTTATTTTACAGCTGAGAAAACTGAAATACTGAAAAGTTGAGGCCCTCACTTGTGCTATTCATAATGTGTTTACAGCTCCCCCTTTAAAAAATACTCTACCTTGGGCCTCCCTGGTGGCACAGGCAGTTGAGAGCAGTGCTGTGAAGCTGTCCACAGCCTCCACAGTGCTGGTTCGATCCCCGCCGGCTGCAGAGCAACCCACATGACACGGCAGACCTCGCCTGTCTCACCCTCTGTTCCCCTCAGCAGTGTACTTCGGTCAGTCTGCCTGTTCTGTTCCCCGCTCTGTCTCTGGTGAATCCTCTCACCCTCCCGCACATCTGGCCTGTACCCTAGTTCTTGTATAAATAAATAAATCTTTAAAAAAATAAAATAAATTAAAAAATACTCTACCCCTATAAATATACTTATAAAATATGAGTAAAAGAGATATCTGTTACTTCCGTAGAAGCACCTAGGAGCCAGTACACAATCCACCATACTCTCTTTCCCAATGCCTCATTCATGTTCCAGATAGTAGAAATTCAATCTGCTTGTATCTTGGAATAACTATGACAGGGAACAGTGTCCCGTTCATCACTTAATGGGCAGGTAGTAACATGCAAGAACTAATACTTTGATGTTGGTTGTTTGTTTACACAGCTTAACCTTGCTCATCTTGATTAATACAGAAGTCACTCATTTATGCAATCACTTCTTTGTATATTTATTTAGCAAATAATTATTGAATATCTGTTGTGTGCCAGATATAGGCTAGGTCCTGGCAAAGTGAGTTATGATTCGTATCTCTAGAGCCTCTGGTAATTTGTCCACTGAAGTCATGACCTTAATTATTATTTTTTTTAATTTAAATTTTATTTTTATATTCCCCATACAATTGCAACCCCCTTATTTTGACCCCAATCCCTCCTTTCCCTCCCCCACCCCCCATAGAGTGTCTCTGGTTCATAGTTGTTTGTTGATTTTGATTTTTACTTTCTTATAGTTATTCTTTTTCCTGGTCTCTTATTTAAGTTATCTAGATTTAAATGATGTAGTCAGGTTTCAAATTCAGACCATGGATTCCAGAGTTTGTTCACTGAAATACTGCATTCAACAATTTCAAATAGAAATTTCTAGAATAGTTTACAGTTGGACTTAAAAATCTTTCAGGTTCTGCGTCTGATAGATCTCATATAGCATAGCAGGATTAATTTCTTATGAGTTGTCAGTTCAACTGTGATTAGCAAAGCAAATTGAGGTTCACCACCAAAGAGAGGCTGAAAACAATGCCAAGGTTTTGGCCATTATATAAAGGGTGGGCATTGGTCATTTTTTCTGGCTATATCATATCTGCAGGATTTTTATATTTGATGGGCCCACCTCCCCCAAATGCAAGCCTGAAAACCCTCAGTCTCATTGCACCTAGAACATGGGCATATGACCATTAATCCCCTCAAGATGTCAGTTCAGAAATGAGAAATTGGAGAGAAAAGGCTCACCATGGAATCTGTTTAGCTGGTGAAGGACAGGAGAGGTCCCTCGCTTAAGGGAAATAGTGATGGCAGAGCTGAGTGCCTGGAACATGTGTAGTATCTATAATGAGGCTGCAGTATTAAAAGTAACTCATTTGATAGTACCAGTGCTGGAGAGAGCAGTAGTCTTCTCATCAGGATAGTTTTGGAACATGATTTGGGGCATTATTCCTGGAAATTTGGCTTTAAGCCCAGTTCTCTAAACCTCCCAATAATTCAGTGATCTACCCACTATCCTTTAATGAACTTGTTTTCTGCTTAATCAGCCACAGTCAGCTTCTGCTTCTTGCAAATAAGAACCTCAACTGATGCAACGTGGAAGCTGAGTCAGAAAGATTTTGAGCCAGGAAAGAGAACTGCAAACGGCTAATTTAAAGGTGTGTGGGTGGGTGGAGAATTAAAGTCTTGAGCATTTGATATCAGAGGAGGTAAGGGCTGAAAAGAAGGTGGTCCACCTTGAACAAATTGGTTTGGATAGCAGCCCAAGTCCTCTTAGATGAGTTCATTCAGTCATTTCAACAACTTCTTACAGAGCATATATTGCGATATATTCTTGTGATAAACAAGTTTGGCAGTGGATGAACAGGCATAATATCAATAGTTTACTGTAATGGGAAAACTGATTATAATTAAATGAAAGTGAATTAGGGGGCTACTGCATTAGTCTGGGCACGAATGGGTTGAAGATCAGGCGACATTAGCAGGAGAGATAGAAAAGAGGAAAATCAATGAGGTTCGCCTTGAGTTAGATATGGAATATGTGGTGACTCTAACTCTCTGATTTTAGGAACTTATGCAAGAATGATTGAAATAACATCAGGTTGGGCATCAAAAGAGTGGGGATAATATCTTTAGTCCTGTACCAGCTGAGATTATTACAGTCGAGTGAAGATGGTAAGTGGATTGTTGGATATGAGGTTCTAAAGGTCCAGGGGGAGTTTTGCTCTGGAGATTCTATTAAAAGAAAATATATTTTGAAGCTTGGATTTAACCAAATCAAAATGGAAAAACCCAAGTTTGGTACATCCATTCATTTATTCAATGTGATTTTATTGAGTATGTATCTTACGCTAAGCTCTGGGTCACAGATTCAAGAAGGGGCCGCTAACCTAAAGGTGCTTATAGTGTAATTGAGAAATAGAAGATTCAATGCACAAACATAATAAAATATAAATAATAGATGTATGCTCTCCACGAATATCCCTATGAATATGTATAACTTCCCTGTAAAATCAAAAACCCATTTCAAGTGAAGGAGCCTTGTGATTTTGTTCACGAAGATTTTAACTCACTCCTGACTTGTGCAACCCCATAAACTCCTTTCTGCTTGCAGCTCAAAAAATATATTTTTTTACATAATGGATATATGTATGGAGTCATTGAAAAAGACACATTTTGGAAGGGTTATCTTCGGGTAGAGATATAGGAGTGAGCTGCATGCTGTATGCTGCATGCTGCATGCATTGTGGTTTTTTTTAAATCAATTATATTTTAAAGATTTATTTTATTTATGCATACAAGAACTGGGGTGTAGACCAGAGTTGCAGAGGGTGAGATGATTCACCAGAGACAAAGTGGGGAGCAAAACAGGTAGATCTTCTGAAATACACTGCGAGGGGAGCAGCAGACAAGACAGGAGAGGTCTGCTGCACCACGTGGGTCACCTCCCAGGCAGGCTGGGGAATTGAGCTCATGTTGAAGTGGCTGGGGATAGCCTGATAGCTATGAGACTTAACCCTGCACCAGGGAGGTCCCAATAGTGCATTGTTCTTAAGAAACCACCAATGTTAAACATGGTTGAAGTAAGGGAATGGGAGACTCAGAAATAGTAGGTGAAATTAGAAAGTCAGGCAGAAACCAGGTATCAGCAATCCTATAGACATTTTGAACTCTAACTTAATGATTACTAGGTATGGCTGAAGCATTTCTTGCAGTGGTAAAATGGAATCAGATTTGTTTCCTGAAGATAACTCTGCTGGATTCATGTTAGATGGTTCTAATAAGAGATCCATATCCTATATCCAAAATTGCTATCTGCATTCAATATTCAGACTTGCTAAATGCAACGTTTTAGTCAGTGGATTTTATATTTCTTAGTACCTTTAGGGTTCCAAGTGTTCATATCACATCTCATTTGAAGAATGTCAGTTGCGAAATGCTACAAATCAATGTACTATTATACTTTATCCTTTTCATGGTTAAATTAGATAATGATCACAAGGTGGCTTGACTTGCTCACTTGTTAGAATCCACAAAATAACCTTCTGCATTAAGTAACCATTTTTCTATTACAAAGCAAATTTGGAAAGAGGTACAGTGTGTCTCTAATCTCTCATTAATTGAAGTACGTTATCTTCTGTTACATTTCATGATTCACCATGTCTTGACTGTAGGTGACTTGACTCTAGAGATCTTTCCTCTTTCTGGTATCATGTGCCAAAGTCTCAGAGGGTAGCTGTCAATGAGAACATTGAGGTAAAAATTTAGACTTGGTTGGTCTTAATTTAAATAATGAGTAAATAATTAAAGAACAATTAATTCTAAGGAGGAGTCCCTGGAGGCTTATGTAATGTCTTATTTGATCCACAAATAAAGTACAAGAGAAATTGATATTTTGCTAATTAAACTAAAGGTATTTTATTCTCCATTGTTAACACTGGTGATGAGGACAAAAATCAAGATATGACCCTTGGTAAAAATAAAGCCCCAAGTACCACTTAGCAGAGAATGCCTATGCTCAGCTAAAACTTTGAATGGCTATGCTGTGGATGTTTTTGGCTTACCCTATTGAAATCACTATGAACTATTGCTGTGTTTGTTGTTAGGTGGAAGTTTCTGGCAGTCCCGCTAATGGTGATTGCTGCTCAGGGAAGAGAGACTGAGAAGAAAGATTCCCCCACCAACTGTGTTTTCCATGCTGCCTAGATGCTAAAGTTTCAAGTGTTATGAAAAGAGAATGGGGGATTAGTTAAATATTCGCCAAAGAAATGATCTTTTATAAGGTGGTGCAGTATCATCAAGTAAGGTGATTCTCCATTTATGTTCTTACTAACAACTGCAAGTGAGAATAAGAAATCCTGGGAGGAAATATATATATATTTAAATAAAAACAGGACCCTCAGTTGTTTCTTTTCCAGTGAGTGAGTTGGGTATCTTGATTGACAGCTTCTATTATGAAGTCAATATTGTGAATAAAATAATGATTCTGAAGTGGGAAGGAAAGCAAAGGAGCCTTGCAGTGGTTTAATAACAGCTTTCTTCTGGCTGGATAGCTGAAAACTTAAAATACAGTTGACAGTAATTAGTTTTGTGTTTCTTTTTCTTAAAAATGTAAAATGTCAAATATCTTTTTTTAAAACCCACGCATAATTGAGACCCATCTGATGAATTTTTTGCTCTTTGCAGTTTTATTAGGCTGTGAATGCTTCACCTCAGCCTGGGTTCCAAGTCTATTGAATTTGAAGAAATATAAAAAGAGACTTTGCCCAACAAACACAATCCCCTTTGATTTGTTCTTCATAATGGGAACAACGATAGTAGGTGCCAACAATGTAGCAAAAACATCTATCCCTGTCTCTTCATTATCACAGTTCTGAAATATTGTGAATATGCAACCTGAGCACAAAAACTTCCAAAGCCAACCACCATTAATGAAAAGACGTGTAAATTTATCCACTAAATATTTTGATATAATCAAGATCAAATCCACCTGCTACTGAGTTTATTTACCTTGAGACTCAAAGAAGATTTATTTGGAGGGTGAAGAATATGTGAGCTTGATTGCTGACTGACTGTACAACCTACAACTTTTCAACTTAGATGTATCCTAATTACAATCCAGCATTTGCACAGGCTATGAGGTTTATTAGCCCACATGTTCATGCTTAAGTCTTCCCCTCAAGGCTATGTGTATATTTTGAAATTTACCATTTTCTAACTTACAGTATGGTAGTAAAATATTTTGTATTTTCCTTTCATCACTAAGAAGGGCAAAATTTCCCATTCTGAATGATGGCCTTTATTAAGAATTAAATTGTATAAACTTACAATTGAATAAGTTCAACTAAAAAAAGAATAATAAACACTTCAGACTCACCATTTTCTAATTATTTTTCTGTATCTTACTATTAGGTGCTCTTGTTCTTGTATTATCTCCGTGAAATGGCATACATATCTCTTCCCATACTGCATTCAACAATGCATGCTGAAAGTGGTCATGCCAGGAGTATTTACACCATGGATATAAAGGCAAATCCTTCAAATCTGAGTCTGAGTCATTGTTTTACTGTCTAGATCAGAGACTGACAACTACTACCTGAAAACAAATACGATAAGGATTTTTTTTCTACATTTTAAAAGGATTTTTTTTAATGAGTGAAATATTTGATGGACATATATGAAAAACTTTTTCGGTAAAAGACTGGTGGTAGACATATGAAGCTTTGTAGGCCACAGCATCTCTGTCATTACTCAACTCTGCTGTTGTAGCACAAAAGCAGCCACAGACAGTTGTAAACAAATGGACATGTTTATATTCCAATAAAAATGTACTAAAACATTTGCTGGTAGGTCTGATTGGCCCATTGGCCATAGTTTTCCAGCCACTGGTATAAGTTATAAACAAAAATAATTAAGACTGTGTTCTACAAGCATCCTTCTAATCAAGTTATATTATTAACTATAATAATAATCTTTAGATCTAGGCAATGTCCTCAAGAGATTAAAAGTATCAATGATCTTTTGCTGCAGCAAGGTTGCAACACAGCTAATTTGGATCACTTTGCAATTCCATTAGGGAAAATTCTAATCTCTGAAGGATTGTTGGTGAATCTTGTTGCCAGCCATTGTGAAATGAAGTTTCATGGTTTTCAAAGTCCTTTAAAGTTACCTGATTCGGACTCTCCGACCAGCAGAGAGGAGGAAAACAACAAACTAAAACTGCCAACAAGAACAAAGGACGCAGCAAGTGGGACTGTGAGTGGAAAGGAACTATTGCAGCCACCCCACCCTGTGAACGGGAGCTGTGGAGAACCCCCGCAGGATCCGCCGCGGAGGTGAGCTCCGGGCGCCATTGAAGAGAGCCCCGCCCAGGAGGAGACCAGCACCAGCACACAGCCCCAGCCGCCCGGTAAGCCTGCGCGGAAAGCAGCGCGCCGGAAAAACAGACTCGGAGCGGGATTGTGCGGGGAAAGCGGCGCGGATTGCGCGGATCGGATCGCAGCTGCCCAGGTCCCCGCGCCTGCGACCTAGGCTTGCGGGGAGACGACCTAGGCTTGCGGGGAGACGCTCGGAGGCCCTCCCGGAGTGAGCAGGAACCAGGCGCCCAGGCACGGGAGCGGGATTCAAAAGGCGCCATTCCCGCACCACTGATCTGGGCTACAGCCCGCGTCCTGGAACTGAGGGCTTTGGAACTGAGACCCGGGGCACGAAATTAGGGGCGTGGGTTCCCCACGACGGTGGGGCACAAGGCAGACACAGCACCCCAAAGCCGTTGAGGTGTACCCTACCATCCCTGCTCTGCTCCCTGTCCCACTGGGTGGAAAATCAGCTCCCCAAGGGCTCCAGGAGAGATCTCTGGCGCCACCTAGCGACTTGAAGCCAGCACAGGCTCCTGAAGGAGCTAGTGGCCAGCTGGGGAGTTAGCCCACGCCGGGCCCCTTCCGAACAAGTAGTCTGAGCCCACAGGGAGAGCGAGCACCCACAGCCGGGGCAGACCAAGCGCGCAGAAGAGTGTGCCTGAGACCGGACGCGCAGGGAGTGTGTCCCACATCACCATTATAGAATAGGGACATTTCTTCAGTAAAGACTACCTGCAGAAGGCTTCCTCAGGAGCCAGAGGTGAGCGGGGGAAGTTCGCCCACGCCAGACCCCCTCTGGCCTGCAGTCCAAGCCCAGAGGGGGAGCAGGAACCCACCGCCGGGGCAGACCAGGCGCACAGGGGAGTGTGTCCCCATATCGGCATTTTAGAACAGGGACCTTTCTCCAGTAAAGACTGCTTGAAACTGACAGATGACTCCTGGAGGAACCAGGGGGGAGCAGAGAAGCCCACCCAAGATGCCGGCCAGTCCCAACTACACAGTGTCCCAACGCATACGGCAAATTAGAAAACAGACAGTAGGGAGGAGAAGAACCACACGCAACCTAGCAACTCTCCAGAGAAAAAGCACACCACAAAAAGAAAACCAGCCCCCAGATGGCAACGACAGTAACTTGGAAGAACTTCTGAGCCTTCCAGAAAGAGAATTTAAAATTGCCGTGATTAAAAAACTGACAGAAGTCATAAAGGAAAACAATGATAAGGGAAAAATAATCAATGATCAGAAGAATGAAATTGAGTCCCTAAAGAGGGAAGTAAAAGAAATGCAGGAGATCAAAGAATTAATGGAAGAACTAAAGAATTCTGGGAAAAGCAATGAAAGCAGAATTGATGAAATGGAAGAACGAATAAGTACTCTTGAAGACACAGAAATAAAAAGAACCAAAACAGAAAAGGAAAGAGAAGTATGAAGGAAAAAGAATGAAGAAAGACTTCGGGAACTATCTGACTCCATGAGGAAAGGAAATATAAGAGTTATAGGAATACAGAAGGAGAGGAGAGAGAAGTAGGAACAGAGAAAATATTCAAAGAGATAATTGAAGAGAACTTCCCAAATGTGAAGGAGGAGCTGAAAATTGATATACAAGAAGCAAGAAGAACACCAAACTTCCACGACGAAAGGAAAAATACAGCAAGACACATAATAGTAAAGCTCCCAAGAATCCAGGACAAGGAAAAAATAATGAAGCTGGCGAGAGGGAAGAAACAGATAACATTCAAAGGAAAGCCAATCAGGCTGACATCAGACTTCTCCGAAGAAACACTACGGGCAAGGAGAGAGTGGAGGGACATAGTCAACAGACTCCAAGAAAACAGATGCCAACCAAGAATACTCTATCCCACAAAGCTCTCCTTCCTCTTTGAAGAAAGAATATGGACTTTCCCAGACAAACAGAAACTCCGGAATTTCATTGCAACTAAACCCCCACTCCAAAAAATACTACAAGGAGTCCTAAAGCCAGAACCTCAGAGGGACGAATAACAATGAAAGAAGGCCAAAAAAAAAAAAGTTATTAAAAGAATAAATAAATAAAATCAAAGGAAAGACAAACACAATGGCAAATACAGATGTTAACATATCAATATTAACTCTAAATGTAAATGGACTAAACTCTTCAATAAAAAGACACAGAGTTGCAGCCTGGATTAAGAAACAAAACCCAACCTTTTGCTGTCTCCAGGAAACACATTTAGCTACAAAAGATAAAAATAGGCTCAAAGTTAAAGGATGGAAAACAATCCTACAAGCAAATGGACCAAAAAAGAAAGCAGGAACAGCTATACTTATATCAGATAAAACAGATTTCAAACTCAAAAAGATAAAAAGAGACCTCAATGGTCACTACATTATGATCAAG